AACTTGCAATTTGTTGTTGAAGTTTAATTGCTTCTTCTAATGTTGGTTGATCTATTTCATAACCAGCAAGTGTAATGAGAATATCTTTTAATGTTGTCATTTGATCAAATGAAATAATGAGTTTGAAATGATGTATTTATGATAATAATGAAAGGACCCTAGTTGATAAAACTCATGAAAGAAGAAAATCGAATATAGAATGACACGAATAATATTTCAACATGATGTTTAAACAACAAGAAAATCAAGAAAAAACAAATAATAAGAATATGAACAATACACCACAAAACACTGTTGAAAGTCAGTAATTGATATTAATGAAATGCCACCAGCAATGGTAAGACCAAGTAATCCACTAATAGAACAAGCAGCACCTAAGAAAACAAGAAATCAAAAAGATAAAATGAATCAATATATTAAAAGACAAGTGATTGATAATCCAAATGATATTATGGAAGATATTATTTCAGAGAATAAACGATTAAGAAAAGAATTAGAGAAAATAAGAAATTTATATATTCAAGAAATGAAAACAAATGAAGAAATAAGAAATGGACTATTAGAACAAAGACTAGAAGTTTTTCAAACAAACTATTAAATAATTCAATCTTTATAATTTTAGTTTATGGAATTTGATAATTTTGAATATGATGATATAAATGATTATAGAGAAGAAGAAGATGATGATGATGATATTGGAGAAGAAGAAATAGATAAAGAAATTAAAGAAAGATTAAGTAATATTAAAGGAGAGAATCAAATTAAAAGAGTTCATCGACAAATATTCTTTTATTATAATAGTTTTATATTATTATAGGGAAACAAGGAGCAGGGAAAACAACATTTATTATGAAAGAATTAGCGAAACTCAACAAAATAGAACACCAATATGAAGCGATTATCTATGTATCACAAAATGCAGGAGAAGATGAAACATTTAAAGAATTAAAAGATTTAATTAAAACACCAATTTATGGAATGAATTATGAAAAATTTATGCCAGCATTAATGCAATATTATAAACAACCACAAGAAAAACATTTATTAATTATATTAGAAGATGCATCATTTGCATTAATGAAAGAAGATAAAACATGGGGAGAAATTATTACAAGATTAAGACATTTAAAAACAACTATTATTGTGAATTTACATATTTGGAAAGCATTAAATCCATCATTTAAAACACAAATTGCAACAATTATTATATTTAAAGGATATTCTAAAGAAAATTTTGGATATATTTATAGACAAACAGCAGGATCAGCTACAAATTCTGTTGCTTATTATTTATATCAATCTATAAATCAAAATGAAGTATTAAAAATAGATAATTTAACAAGAGATTTAAGAATTATAAAAAGATAATTGAATTATTATTTTTTATTCACATAGTCATTATCTTTAGCACATAAATAAATAATTAAATATTTTGTTAATCCTTTTTCATCATCTATATCTGGTTTAAGTTTTCCACCTGACCATGTAATATTTTGTTTAGATACAGAAAATTTACCATTTCTTCCATTTTCATATCTTTTATCAACACAACATACCCATATTGAACTTACACAATCAGGAATTACTTTTGCTTTTATTAAATGAGCTAAAGCACTTGCTCCTTCTTTTCCATTAAATAATGTTTGTTGAATAATTTGATTTTTAGTCATTCCTAGAATAAAGAATGAATGAAATGAAAATTTCCTTTGTGTTTTTTCATATTTTGATGATTTTTGTTTTCTTCTTCCATCATTTAATGATTTACTAAATCCGTTATTATTTGAAATATCATCACGTAAACCAGCAAGACGTATATATTGTTTTCCACCAATTTGAGTAGCTTGTTTATATTCATTTTCAATATTAAATGTTTTACTTCCAGTTTTTGATTTAGCATTTTTAACAATAATTGAACGTTGAATTGATAAAATTAGATTATCACATAATATCCCTAATGGATTATTAATATATTCATAATCATTATTATTAATTAAATAAAACATTCCTTTAAGATCCCAATTCATTATTGATCTGCTTAATATTGATGAAATATAATTCATGAATGTTTGTACATAATAAGTAATAGAATACTGAATAGAGTTATAAATATTTTTAAAGTTGGTACTAAGAATTTGAACCAATTTTTGCATTCTTTTATTTATTCCATTATCGTCATCATTATTAATCAATGTATTTAGATAATTTTTAACTTGATTTGAAATAGAGTCATGTTTAAAATCTTGTATTGAATCAGGAATAGGAACATAAATTAATTGATTATTAATATACCAAGTATTAGGTATGTTATTTATATTTTGCATAA